ACCCGACTACACATAAATACAATTAATGGCCTGATAAAACAGGAAATATACCACAAAGGGTGCCTAATACACATGCAGGGAGGCTGCACCAACACGGTAATTACCCCAAGTGGTAATTATTGTGCTTCAGCAGACTCCTGAGTCACATGTATCCTTGTCCCTGCACTGAAAAATGATGGCAGTGGTGCTTTAACTAAAGCTCAGTCAACAAACTTTTAGTTAATGCATTCCCAACACCATTTTTTCAGTGTGATATGGCTTTCTGGGCCCTTTAATTACAGAGGCTCTCAGAGCCACTGTAATTAAAGCCCCACCCCTCCCCCCACTCCCAGAGCACATGTAAAAATGCTCAAAGTTGTTTTGTTATGATAAAAGTGTAGCAGCTTTGTGCCTGGTTCCTATTATGCCATTAATTGAATGTGTAGCCAGACCATGGCCAGACTGGTGTCTGCTGGCAGCCAGGAGCTTGGATCAGCTGATGGCTGCCACATGCAGGAGCACATGATGTGCCCTGGCACCCGGAAGCCCCATTGGCTGATGGAGCTCACAGCTGCAAGAGCTTGTTACTTGCTAGTGCAGGGGAGTCTGAGATCATGATCCCAGGCTCCCTCTATGCCTGCAACAAGGTATGATGGCATCTGATGCACAATCTGTCACACCTCCTGCCATGCACATGTAGCATGGGAGGAAGCACAGTTGTTCAAACTGCACATCATATCCCATTGCATTTTTACTTGTACATCCGCCAGGGGCTTAAGGAACAGGCTTGCTGGACTCTAATGCAGCAGCCCATGGTGCAGGTTCCCTGGGGACTCCTCCTAATGCCCCATTCCCACCCCTTCCCACAAAGATACGTTTCTGGGCATAGGGCTGTGCCTGTCATGCCAGGGCTGTGCCTGGTGGAAGGAGGAGGGCAGCAGTCTACTCACCTTGTTCATCCCCTCCCTCACAGATATACTGTGGGGCATAAGGTTGGGCTGTGCTGTGGCAAAGACTCCTGCGGGGGAGGGGGTTTAATTGGTACCCACTTTAAGTTGGAGCCCAGGACTGATGCCCTGATCACCATACCATAGTTACACTACTGCTTTGGTTTGATTTTCAGCTCTAGTCTGCTCCTCCCCAGATCTGCAGAAGCCAGGTATACTATTCTGCCCTATGGGGGGGGTGGGAAAGAGGTGGGAGACAAGTTGCAAAAGGGGAAAGAGGGTTTCCATTTAAATCCCCTGCTCTTTTTCCTGACAATAAAAAGAAATGGCGGAACACTGTCTTCAGAAGATGCAAAAGTGCAGTCTGTTGTTCCATATGGACCCACTGAACAGGAGCAGAAACTTGGTCTATAAAAAGTTTCAAACTCCCCTGCCCTTCTATTAATATCAACCTTGTTACAAATGTTTCTGGGCACTTGAGTTAGGTGGCAGCTGATACAAGTAAAGTTTTCAAACAAACTTGCCTAAAACTTCTTGCCCCCCAAAATCAACATATCAAGTTTCACTGTCTTTGTGCTGACGTTATTTTAAGTTTGTAATTTCCAATGGTTTATGCTGTCTTCAGATAAAAGGCGGCAGGACAAAACCCGAATTTTTAAATATGACTCCTTAGGCCAGGATCCCTCTCCTGGAGTCTTAGGGTGCAACTACAATATTGTAATTAGGTTTGGCAGAATTCAATTTTTATTTTTTAATAATTTTTATAGATGATAAATAAATGCTTAAAAATAATGCTGTTTCAGGATTACATGACATAAGGGCTGTGGGGGGCAGGCAATTTATTAATGACAGCATACTATTATTATAGTGCAGTTCAATCCCCCACCATGACAAACATAACTACTGTAGGACTGCTGCCAGCTGAGAGTGGCAGAGCTGCCATCAGTCCTGGCTCTACTCAGGGGTAGCTCCCTCATCCGCTTTGTCACTTCCTCTTCCTTTGTTACCAGTCCCCTGGGGTTTTTGGGAGTTGCAGTCCAAACTACAGTCCGCATAGTTCTGTAGGAGTGCTGCCCGTCATCACACACTCCATCAGCCATCATTTTTCTTATGTTCTATTTCTATACATTTTGATTATTAACAATATAATTTTTTGTCAGTCTGTGAATGTGAGGTGAAACAGACATTTGTCAATGTTTACTGATAAAAATTGAATCTTGCCAACCTAATTATAATTAATACAAACAATGCCCAAAGCTTTCAAAAGTTACCTTTCAAAACTTCCTTTATTCCTCATATAGAAACTGAAAATAAAACATCAATTTTCCTGTCTTCAGAGGTCAAATTAACATAAGAAAGAACCCCTAAGATAAGTGTTCAGATTCATAAGATGATAAAATTTGGAATCTCCCAAGAAGCTCAAATATATTGGGCTCCAGCTGTAACTCCTGGTAGTCAAAATCTCCATTTCAGAAGTTCAGATCTCTATGTAAATTTCTTGAGAAGTTCCCATGATTTTGAATGACATGTTTCTTTGTGTAAATAAGTACATAGATTTTAAAGTTTCAAGCTCATCCTTTGCATTTCCTCGCTAAGACAAAAGCAGTGAGCTACAACAGAATGTGGAACGACCACAAGCCAAACTGCATGTTTTTAAGTTAAGGAGTTTTCTTTCTCCAATTGCAACTACACACACAAATATGTAACCAAAAAAGTCCACTATGTGACTAACAGAATACATTGTTGCTATGCTATAAGACAGACTGCATAATTCAGGTATTTATAACTGAATACTTGCTACAACAACAAATGTGACCTTTGAGTGAATGTGTGTAAATCATTAAAAATCAACTGTAAATTTTGGTTCAACATGAAGATTTCAGAAATAAAATAAAAATGTAAATCTCCTGCTGCTGTACAAATCTGATCTTATACAAAGATGTAAATCATGTTCCAATTCTTCTTAGCTTCATAGGTTCAAATCTACAGGATGACAAATCTTTCCAAAAGGCATTTTTCATTGAAGCCTGACTGAACAGAAATGCATGTCTCAAAGACCACATGAAAAGTATGTACAGGTTTGACATAAAATGTACAAGGCAAGGAAATGGTTAAGGAAAAAAAAAAAAAAA